CCATCCGAATGCTGGGGCTGAAAAATCAAGAAGCATCAGACTCTTTGGGTGCTACCATTCACGTGGATGTCACTTACCACCCACCAAAACACTGCAGCAGACCAAGCACACCATGTCACACTACCAAAAACTGCTCAGGAACCACTAAAAGAATGTCACAAAGAGCTTTGTGCACTGAACCTCGAATTATCTTCAACCAAATCTGAGCATCGGTGATTTCCACAGGAGGTGTCACCCCGCAAACTACATCATGAAAAGGATCCACTGCTAACACCCACCAGGTGGGACTATACACTATTAGGCACTATTGAGCAGAGCATTTAAGACATTAATAAAGTTTAATATGCTCACATTGTTGTCACGGTGAAGTTTAAGGACGTTCCTTACTTCTTAAAATGTGTCAAAAACATCTCGAGGTCATCACGGTTACTTCTTCTAAATAAAGGGTGAATTTTAATATCAGGTTTACACAAGCTCAAAGTAAGAGGTGGGATGAATGAAAAGACAGAGGAAGAATAACATCAGAAAGACGAGTGGGAGACGGACTTGAACAGAAAGTTAAAAAGAAAGAAAGAACGAAAGAAAAGAAGCCGGAAGGATTTAAGAAGGTGGGCTGAAGGAGATCTTTTACAGTCCCATCGGCTCTTTCCAGCTGTAATGTTTAATTATTTCCAAAGCCTGGGGACTTGAGGGTTTGGTGGAAAATACAAGCAAAAGTTTTCATTTAATACTTTTTTATTTATTATATGAATAAAACACCTAGCACATCTAAGCTCCAAGGAGCTGAAAAGAAAAAGGTTTGCTGGTGTACTAATGAAAAAAAAAGAGTTTCACCCCTGAAAGACTTGAATATGACTACAGGAACTACAAAATGTGACTGTAAGAATCCTATTTTTTTGCTGGTTTTTTTTGAGAAACAGAAGTAAAGAAGACAAAAAAATGAGTACAGAGAGAAAGAAGACGTGAAGTGAGAAAAGTCTCAAGGAGTCGTCAACGTCAGCACACAAAAGGGGGACGTTCACTGGGCAAGCGCACAAATACAGACAAGCTTTTGAACAGGTGAGAGAGTCGCAATAGGAACACTTAGCAAGGCATGAAAATGGCCACTTAAAGAAATCACTCTTTTTATTATGACAGCGAGAAGCGCGTCACTTCCCTTTCTAAAGGACAGTCAGGAGAAGGTTAATACTGTAGGGCAACTGCACGCCTAGCAAAAACACTCAAACACATGCACACACACACACACACACACCGAATTCTGTCAGCTTTTCCTCAGATAAAATTGCATATTCTCTCAATCCTGAGCAGCCAGGGTTGAGGCGAAGAGAGGGAAGATGGGAGTGGGTGAGGAGAGAGAGCGAGGGAGCCGGCAGCCAAGAACTGAATGACTGTGATAAGACAGGGAGGGGAAATGGCCTACAGAGGGAGAGAGATGAAGGAAAGGAAAGGTGAAGGAAAGGGAGGGGTGAATGACAGAGGATTAGTAGGAAGATGGAATAGGACCTGGAGGGAAGAGTGAAAAGGAAGGTGGAGGGAAACAAAGAAGGAAGAGGGGGGGAGGTAGGATAGCTTTTGTGAGATAGGAGAAGGAGAGGAGGCGAGGGGTAAAGCTGGCATTTCTCTCATTGCCTGAATCACTGGACTGAAACTGCAAAGTCTGC